GTAGGCCGTGTGACAAAGACCACGGTGGGAAGTGCTTGGCTGGGACAGGGGCTTGTTTCAACTGTGGAAAGAGCGGGCATCGGGTAGTTGAATGCCCCCATAAGGGAAGGGCAGATATTGACCGACCTTCAAGGTTGAACCAGGGGAACCGTGGCGGGCCGCCACCACAACTCACTGAGCCACAAATGCAGGAAACGCGGTGACAAGTACTTGGCTATTATGCATTTGCCTTGTTTGATTCTGGATCAATGCATTCTTTTATATCCACTACTTTCGTTAGACAAGTACTAGTTGGGATAGAGTCTTTAGAGTATAGTCTAACAGTGTCTACTCAAGCTGACACGATAATGCTGGCTGAGGAGAGAATCAGTGAGAGAAAAATGAGAGAAAAATAAGACTGGCAGGACGCTAGTTTGAGGTGACCTTGATAATCATCGACATGACTGACTTTGATGTTATTCTGGGGATGGACTTGCTCGCAGAGAACTATGTCTACATTGATTGTCATGGAGGAGAGTTACTTTTTCAGTCGCCATCAGGAGACAGTTTCAAATTCAAGGGCACCAGGTCCTAAAGCGTACCCAAGATAAAATATTTGCAATGAAAGCAGATAAACAGGCATGAGGTTGTTGGGGGCTTGTGCCTTGGACTTTACAAGCAACTGGGACGAACACTTGCATTTAGTGGAATTTGCACATAACAACGTTTGAAATGTATTTTTGAACGATGTTGTATTAAATTTTCTTTATGTGCATGCACGCTTAAAAATTTTAAATTACATGCATATTTTCAAATATTTCATGTCAATTAAGTAATGGTCCGCGACTTGAAATCTCGAAAGGCGGGTCGTTACACGTTCCCTTTAGTTAACTGGAAGATCCTCTTCCCACCAAAGAGAGGGCATCCTAACATATAGGGTTGAATCTTGGCCTTTGCTGCCCAAGATTAGGTAGGGATGTAAGATGAAACTACAGTCAGCTAAATCAACTGAAAATGAAACTAACACTTACTTTGAATGCAATTGATATTAGTTTGGATTGGTTTGGTTTAGTCCAATCTCTTCAAGTTCAGTATTTTAGTTCTCTTATATATTGTTCTTTCTTGGGTAATGTTATGTTGCTTCTGCTAAAAGGAGAAATGTTTCCTGACATTCTGTTTATGGCTACTTACAATTTTACTGTACTAAAATTTGATTTTCTTCTCTTCAGACGATGAGGATAAAGATAAACATGGTGAAAACGAGGCAGTTGAATTGTCTAACCGGTACGTTAAAGAAACCGATAGCTAATATATAAGTCGTTTTTTTCCCATTCTGTTCCAAATTATGTCAAGTTTCACGGTGATCGTCGTTTACTTACCGAATACGTTTATGATCACAGGACCAAAAGAATGTCCATAGAGATTGGACCCAGCAGCTTTGCTTCAAGAAAGAAGAAGAGTAAGAAAAGCTCCAAGTGAAGCCACATTTCTTCAGGTATTCCTCAATAATCCAACTATATCTCGCTTGCTTAAGCGTGCACGGATGCCTCCGTTCGCCATTTTCGGTATGCTTCATCGCTCTAGGTGCCAATTTTTCCAGCTTAACTTTACGTTTAACTAATCACCATGCGCTTTCATCGTCCTCCCTAATGTTCTTAGCTTTAGCTAGCTTATATATAGCCAATTTGAATCTTTATTGAGCAGGCTTCTGTTTTTCTCTCTTTTCCCTTCTTGTGTAGACATGGATATATAGATTGGTTCATAATATTTATTACATTTCTCACTCGTGATCCTGTTCTTTTAAAACCTTCAAATTTGTTCTTAATGTATCACTTTATGTTAGAAAATCTTTGTTGATGTTGTTAGGACTTGAAGAAAACTATAGCACATAAGAAAGTCATATAATCACTACTCTTTCAGGTAAGTTTTCACATAGATTGGAAAAACAAGAACTTGAACATTAGGAATTTTCTACGTTATTAGTTATTATTTGTGTTCGGTGGTAAATTTAGAATCTAAAGACATTTCCATGACCCGTCATAAGTGCTCAAGGTTCCTGGGGCCGCGGCCACAACTATTTAGTATAGTTGGCAAGGCTTGGAAGCAAGCTACCAGCGCCTATCGGTGAGAACTAGGCTTGACTTGGTTAATAGTGCTCGCTCCCTTGTCTGCTCATGCTTAATTGGCCCGAAGTTGTTGAATAGTAGTAGGCTTGACTTGGTTAATAGTGCCCGCTCCCTTGTCCTGGAGGCTCGTGCTTAATTGACCCAATGTTGTTGAATAGAAGTAGGCTCGACTTGGTTAATAGTGCCCGCTCCCTTGTCTTGGAGGCTTGTGCTTAATTGGCCCGAAGTTGTTGAGTAGTAGTAGTAGGCTTGACTTGGTTAATAGTGCCCACTCCCTTGTCTTGGAGGCTCGTGCTTAATTGGCCCGATGTTGTTGAATAGTAGTAGGCTTGACTTCGTTAATAGTGCCCGCTCCCTTGTCTTGGAGGCTCGTGCTTAATTGGCCCGAAGTTTTTAAATAGTAGTAGGCTTGACTTGGTTAATAGTGCCCGCTCCCTTGTCTTGGAAGCTTGTGCTTAATTGGCCCGAAGTTGTTAAATAGTAGTAGGCTTGACTTGGTTAATAGTCCCCGCTCCCTTGTCCTGGAGGCTCGTGCTTATTGGCCCGAAGGAAATTAAATAAATTAACCGATAAAAATAATAAATTAGTATAAATTAATTAAACTAATAACAAAAAGTATATTAAATAGTTAAGATAATATAAAAAAATTAATTATAAACGTAACTAAACTTTAACAAATCTAAGTAAAATATTAATAAGTAGTAATAATATTGAATAATTAATTTATTGTTAAATAATACTACGAGTCTCGATGTCGAAGTACAAATTTAATACGACTTATTCTACTTAGGTGAACTACCTACATTTTTATAGCATATTTTCAATAATTGACAAAATAATTAATCACCAAAGTTCCTTTTATAATAAATCTTTGAAAAATAAGCTTTGACCAAAGGAAAAATTTAAAATGAATGGCTTTTCAAAAGAGGGAATATATATATATATATATATATATATATATATATATATATATATATATATTATAAAAATTAAATTAATAAAAATAGTCTTACATACAATAATATTCTTGAACTTTCGAAAAAATACCTCTAAAATTTAAAAAGTATCGTTAATGTCTTCAAAAATTTTAATATCACTTTTTAATTTTTTTTTTAAATTAAAAAATATTTTTTTTTAGAATTTATTTATTTTTATTTTTTATTTTTAATAAAAGTAAGACTAACATGACATACAATAAATATGAATAATATTCATATTATCAATTAGGTTTCGACAATCTTACTCAACGCCTTACTTTAATGAGTGCTTATACAACGTTATGCCTGCTTTTATAGTAAAATAAATAACGATTAGGAGTGTTTATATGACCTGGTAACTCAATTAACTGAGACTACCAATCTAAACCATAAAGGTTGAGTTGGGTTAAATTTTTTTTTTTTTCATTTTTCAATTTGAGATCAGTTGAATTTTTGAAGAGTCGAAAAAAAAAAAAATTTGGTATGCACGTTTATAGTTTTTTTTAGTTGGGTCAACCTAATTGACCCAAAAGTAGGGTCATAACCCAACCCTATCATACTCTTAAAAAAAATTAAGAATATTTAACGATTGTAACCGATCTGATATTAGTGATATTTGACAGGTAAATGTTTGATATTTGAATTTTATGTGATTTTAGTTATTAATGTAATATGTACGGTGGATAAATAGTATTTTTTTAGATAATAATAAAAAAAACAACCTAACAATCTGACTCAACTGAACATAGATGGTTGAGTTGAATTGTGAACTCTATTCAGGTTGTTCGAGTCACTAAGTTGACCAACCCATGTGCACCCCTAATGATAATACTAATTATTTGGACAGAACACAAATGTTCATGAAATTTGAGGTTGATGTCTATTTGTTCCCGAAAGTCTTAACCCTTAAGTATAGCTGACAATAGACTCTTTAGAGATAATGTAGCTTGTAAGATCGTATATCTTACGAAGCAATCCCAACTTGAATTCTTAGTAAATTAAGAGCGATAATGACTCGTTTTATAATAGCAAGTAGACAAGTCAAATAGTAATTTTTCAATATATTAACTTTTTTAAATAATACTTTTGAAAATGATACTTTATATTATAAGATAATGAAATTTAAAAAAAAAAAAAAAAAAACTTGGGGATGGGATTTTGCTTGTCTGTGAAGTATGGGAAGCAATCCACGCAACCTTTTGCTTCGTCGGCAAACCATAACATATCCATTTCCACGTGTCATACAGCTGTATGCCCAGCTGGATTTAATGCATTATTGCCCTAATTACAAAATTTACATTATTACTACTAATGCAATTTTAATCCTTTCTAATTAAATTTATTTTAGTTAATTTTCTGTCAATATTAATTTATTTTAACTAAATATAAATTCAAACTCAAAATTTAAATGCTCATGAATCTGTTATATCTCACATTGGTTCGGGAGGAGAACGAAACACCTTTGTAAGGGTGTGGAAACTTTTCCTTAGTTTTAAAAGCAACTAGGGGAAGCCCGAAAGAAAAAGTACAAAAAAGACAATATCTACTAGCGGTAGACTAATATCAATAATAATAATAATAATAATAATAATAATAATAAAAAAAAAAAGCACGACAAGACGATGGAAATTCAAATAATGCATTTATTAATGATGTCGTAAATTCAAAATCAAGTAAAAATTTAAATTATAAAAAAAAATCCTTAAATTTATTTTTATTTATTTCCAAACAAAATTTATTAGAATTTTGGGGAAATAGTTATTAAAGATTTAAAGTAATAAAATATCTAAAAAAATAAAAATAATATCTGATCATAAAATATTTGATAAGACCTGACATTGTGTTTATTTATTTAATAAGAGACGTGCGGTTACGTTTATAATTGACATGAAAGTGACTAATAATGAAGATTCTTTATTTATTTTTTTATTTTTTTATTAGAAAGAACAACCGGGAAGATCCCGTCGTTTGTTCAATGGCGAACTGATTGAATTCCATGATTGTTTTTCTTTTTCGTTCGCGGAAGTCTTCGAATCCCACTAATTTCAAGCGATGATTCGACATTGCTTTGTTACCAAACTCCGGTTTAATGCCTAATCAAGGAATCGTTTTACCAGATTAACAAATTCAAGATTCCCGTTGGAACTGGAAGTCAAAAATCCGTTCCACTTTCCATTTCTCTTTTTCTCTTTTCTTGCAGAAGGATTTGATTTTATTATCTTCGTTGTGCGTTTCCTCCTTTGAAGTGAAGTGGATTTTGCCATCAATCGCGGATACGGGAAGCAATTTGAGAAACCGAGACGATGGTACGGATTTCGTTTTCGTTCCTTTTCGAGATTCTTTTTTACTTTTTCATTGCGTTCTAGGAAATAGGGTGAAGAATCTGATGATGAATTTGTCTAGATTGCTGGTCTTTTTAATGGCGTTTGGTGGTTTCATGATTCTGTAGATTTGAACTGATTGGCGTTGGGTTGTGTGACTCGTGAGTTTGAAATTTTCAACTTATTTTCTTTTGGCGCTGAGGATTGGAAGTTGTTAATGGTTGAATGTTTTGAACGTTGAAGTTGAAAAGATTTAAGGGAGTTTGTCAAATCAAATCGTGTTGTTTAATTGCATGTTCATCTCTTTTCATATACGTAATTTTTTTCCCCAGGAAAAATTGCTTTTATATATCATTTCCGTTCTTTGGCCTTTTCTTTTTCCATTTTTGACAGGCGGCGGCAGTCTCTTGTGTTTGAACGTTCCTGGTTTTCATACCTCGTTTTTTCTGTTTTTCTTTTCCTTAGTCGGTGAAGAGGCGTGGCGTAATGGAATTACAAAGCTACGTATTTTGATTTCAATAAAAGCTTGAAATCTCCTTTAAAACTTCATTTGTGAGAGAATAATTTATACTCTTTGGCCATTTGGACTTGGATTATACCCTTTTGGATATACTGGTATCTGCCTTGTAGCTGAGGATTTTGATTAATTTTGGCTGATTTCATCGTTTTTCTTTGTTCATTAGACAAGAAGAGGTTCCAAAGATTTTGAAGAATTTGATTTTATCGTCTTTCTTTGTTCATTAGACAAGAAGAGGTTCTTAAGATTTGGAAGAGAATCTGATTTCATCGTTTTTCTTTGTTCATTAGACAAGAAGAGGTTCTTAAGATTTGGAAGAATCTGATTTCATCGTCTTTCTTTGTTCATTAGACAAGAAGAGGTTCTTGAGATTTGGAAGAATTTGATAGAGTTTGAAATTGATGGGGGCTGCAAATTCAAGGGAGGAACCATCGGTTCGGTCCGTTTCATCGTCGTCATGGAGTGATGCATATGCTCAATCCCCATATACTCAAACCCCTTATGCTCAGGAAACATATGCTCGACCTCCATATGGTCAGCAAAGTCAGAGTTATGTGCCACAGCAATCATTTTCCTCACCGCAGTATTACCCTCCTCCTGAAAACTACCATGGTGGTGCTGCTGCTGATAATAGAAAGAAGTTCGACAGACGATACTCAAGAATTGCTGATGATTACAAGTCCTTCGAGGAGGTAAGATAGAATGGAATGTTCCTAATGGGAAATTGTTTTCCAATATTAAACTTTGTTAATTTACAAGTTTGATCACGCCTTTGAATTTTCAAACGTGTTTAATAAGTACTTGCGTGCCTAATAAATCTCTGAACTTTCAGTTTTGTGTTAATAAGCCCCTATGTTTTCAATTTTAAAGTTGAAGGATCTATCTAACACAAACATGAAAATTTAGGGACTAAAACTTTCGATTTAACCTTAAATTTTGTGTGGAGAGTGCATGCAAACAAATTATTTCTTGCTTACGAATGTTATTTCCAGTTTCATGCATGCATCTATAGCCTTGATTTTCTAAGAAAGAAACAGCTTCGCTTGGGTTCAGCCTTCTGTGGTTGGAAGAACAGAATATTAATTGGTTGATAGCCATTGTTTTCAGTCGGTTTTCGTCATGTTTTGTTTTTAGAAGGATATGTTCTTCGCTTGATGCAACTGTATTAAGGATAAAATATAAGAACTTGGTCGTATGCATTTTCATATTTACATTCTGCAAACTATATAATAAGGTGAAATTTGTTTTCTACAGGTAACAGGAGCTCTTGCTCGTGCTGGGCTCGAGTCGTCCAATCTCATTATTGGAATTGATTTCACAAAGAGCAATGAATGGACAGGTGCAAGATCATTTAACAAACGAAGCCTTCATGACATCAGTAATGGTCCCAATCCTTATGAACAAGCCATATCCATTGTCGGGAAAACGATGTCTGCTTTTGATGACGATAATTTGATTCCGTGTCTTGGATTTGGAGATGGTAATTACTTAAATTGTCCTCGGTAGGCTGTATTGTTCTGTTTCAAATTTCCAAGCCTCCTCATATTACAAATGTCTTATGTAATTTGCAGCATCTACACACGATCAAGATGTCTTTAGTTTCTATCCAGAAGGGAGATTTTGTAATGGATTTGAGGACGTGTTGAATCGTTATAGGGAAATCGTTCCCCATCTACGTCTTGCAGGTTCCAGAATACATTTACTTCTTCATACTTTATATTTTATCAAATTATTTCTCACATACATGTAATGGTTCTTACGAGGTCATTTGTTATTCTATAACAGGACCAACATCATTTGCACCTGTTATTGAGATGGCAACGACAATTGTGGAGCAGAGTGGTGGCCAGTATCACGTTCTGTTGATAATTGCTGATGGGCAGGTACTAATACAGTTCAATGGAAAAAAATTGGTGGAATCTGTTTCTTTTTTCTTTTTTAGAACAAGCTGAATTTTCTTAAAATGTTTCTTATGAATGAGAGAATAAAGGTTTAAACATTCTTTTAATCCTTGTACTTTAAATTTTGCCCCTATACTTTCCTGTTCTTAAAACTAGTCCTTATTCCGAAGGGACCAAAATGGTGTTTTAACCTTTTTTTTTTTTTTTTTTTTTTTTGAAATTTGATTGAGAATTCACGTGCGAGAATAGCGAGATATCTGTTCTTCTGTTCCTTTATCTTTTTCTGAAATGAGAAATATCTCAGGTGACTAGAAGTGTGGACACTGAGCATGGGAGGCTAAGTCCCCAAGAACAGAAAACAGTTGATGCCATTGTGGCAGCAAGGTGGGTATAAGATTCAAATATTTTTTATTAAATTTAACATTCTGTACAAACTCTCATAATTTTATATGCTTTCATTTCAGCAATTTCCCCCTTTCAATCGTTTTAGTTGGTGTCGGGGATGGACCGTGGGATACAATGAAAGAATTCGACGATAATATCCCCGCCCGTGCCTTCGATAATTTTCAGGTAAGCAGAGGCATGCCCTTGCCTTTTGTTATCTAAAATCTGCTTGCTTTGCTTATCTTATATAACTGCAAATTTAAGAGACCCTTTTTCTTTTTGGTTCCCATCTCCCTTTAGTTTGTGAATTTTACTGCAATCATGTCAAAGAATGTTCCCCAGTCCCGGAAGGAGACAGAATTTGCACTTGCAGCTCTGATGGAGATTCCTTCTCAATATAAAGCCACCTTGGAGCTTAATCTACTAGGGTAAGAGGCGTTTATTCCATATGTTATTTTAGTAGGAAATTTTTTCAAAAGGGAATCATCATCTTTATTGTCACAATCATTTTATTCGTTCTTATCCCAGGACTCGGAAAGGCAATGCTCCAAAGAGGATTCCACTTCCTCCACCTGTTGCATCTTTCAGCAGACCAAGACCTCCTCAATCCTTTAATTTTCAGCCCAGCGTGCCTCCATATCCTGGGGATAATAATTCAATCGAAACTGTTCGTTCGATCGATCTTTCGTCCTACGATGACAAGGTAATTTTTCTGTGCTGTGATGTGGATTTGTTTGACTACCGCTCTCTAACTCTGACTGTTGCAACTAGTTTTATTTGTCCTAGTGACTCTTGGATGATTTTTAGAACGATGTGAAGTGCTTAAAAACATTTTATTTTATGTAAATTGTGAGATCCCACGTCGGTTGGAGAGGAGAACGAAACATTCTTTACAAGGGTGTGGAAATCTCTCCTTAGCAGACACGTTTAAAAACTTTGAGGGGAAGCTCCGAAGGGAAAACTCAAGGAAGGCAGTATCTGCTAGCTAGTGCTGGACTTGAGCTGTTATATAAACATAAGCATAGTTCTACCGATTCTTGTACTGTTGGTCATTATCTCGGGGTGGCTCCATATCACTAAGATTTTGATTTAAGAACGTTACCACATCCATTTTCATTGTCACTTTAAGAGTTCTTATCTCAATACCAACCGCTAGTTTTTCTGCTCACAGTTATGCGGCATTTGCCTTAGTAACCCAAAGGACTTGGCATTTGGTTGTGGACATCAGGTAATCTTCTGTGCTTCAAGTTTACAAGTATGACTAAAATTTGAGTTCTTTACCCTAACAAATGTGCTCGTCAATCGCAGACTTGTGGCGACTGCGGACAGGATCTTCAAATATGCCCGTTCTGCCGGAGTGCAATCCACACACGGTTAAAGCTCTACTGATCAAACCTCAACGAGTCATACTAGTCGAAACAATCATCATGCAAGTTCATGATATGATACACAGGCATAACGCCTCGATATCGAACAATTGCTTGGCCCTATAGATGTGAAAATGTAGGCAAACAATTCTATTCATACCTTTTGTTACAGAATGATGCTTTTATCAAAGTTTGATGGTTTGAGTCTTCTTGGTTCCAGTAGCCCATGGTCAGAGGAGAAGGTGTTGTAAATGAAATTTGGCCACTGGAATTCATTCTTTTCTTCCTTAAATTTATTTATCCATTGTCTTTGCACATAGAAAAATATGTTATGTAATGTAATGTAATGTATGATATTTTTGTGTACTTTTTGGCATGTTATTTTATCAATGAAAAATAAGGTAATTTTATCCTCTCAGGGTTACATTTGTTGTTTAAGAGGGATAAGTCATTGTATTTCAATATTTTTATTACTTTTATTTTATTTTATATCATACATTTCTAAAATAAATATATTTTCAAGATGGGTTTAGATGTGATAGAAGAACAGCAATTGGGAAGTTGTTTGTTCGTCCCTTGTTCTTCCCTCATGCTTTGGCCAGGGTTGGGAGCTGTACCTGTACCTGTTGCAGAAAACTCAAATTTGGGTAGCAAGATCTTATAAACGATACCGATATCGACTACTGTATGAAGCCAAATTAACGACCGTCGTATTCATTTAAAGGTAAAAGATACCGAAGATCATACAGAGCAAAGTTGTCAAATTCTAAGGAAGCTGTGTGATTCGAACAAACAACTGGCTCTATCTATCTAACAGTCCTCTTGGGCTGCAAATATTGATAAGTTTAAATCAAGCCATTCACAGCATGAACTCAAGGCCAAACTGAATTTTCTAGTAATATCCACTTGAGAAAAGAGAAAAAGAAAAGCTTTGAAATTCCCCAAACTGAACCTGTGCTTTCGTCGTTCTCACTCTTCCATAGCATCGCCTCCTTCGATTACCTCTACTTTTTCCTTCAATGGCGTAATCTTTGTCAGCAGAACCTCTGTAGTTCAAGAAAGCATGAGTCATCGGTCGAGCAATGGGGGCATAAGGGATGTGGAAAGAGACATAAAACATGAAAGCTATGAGTAAACAAATGACTAACCTGTTTTTTTGGGGAAGGAATAGCCTTTTGAACTGACATACGTACGAGGATTCGGCAACAGGTGGTTTCTCATATAATCCTTTTGGCCCTGCGAGTCATCGACATACTTTTTAGATGCTTTCCTTTATTATCTTCACAGAAATCGAGGCACATTAAGAACACGAACCTTGGTAATAACACAAACATCGACGTTACTTCCACTCCCCAAATCGTTAAATATCCCAGAACATATCGCCTCGGTTACCAGCCGAATCCCTTCATCCCTCTACAACAAGGAAATAAAAGCTCACCAATCACCATGGTAAGATACACCAAGTTGTTCAAATTTAGCTTTATCTATATAAGCACATGAACTTACAGTCAGGCCTTCTTTGTACTTCGATTCAAAAACAGACATTGCAGCTAGAGAACCCGATCCCATTGTAGCATATGGCAAGGTGTCAGTGGATCCGTGAGGATAGATCTGCAGATGAAGTATAGCATTAAAAGATGGCATGTTATGCAACCCAATATCGTTTGTTTTTCAGAACCAAAACTCACGGTATGTAAATGAGGTCCAGTAACATCGACTCCACCAAGCACCAAAGCGGCTGAAACGTAGCCTCGATAACTGGAGGACACAAGGGATGGGAAGACTTCAATTTCATGCTACAAATAGATGAGAGATATGGAAAAAAAATCCAAGTAGACAAAAAAGGCTATACCCAAAAAGGTGTTTCTTGAGAAGGGTCAGAGCGGTAACGACCCTTGATTCTCGACCAGTGTGGTAACGATGCAATTGCAATTGGGAGCTAACCATGTCTTAAAAAATGCAAGAATAGTAGAATTAGTTATGACAAAACTAACTAGCAGAAGCAAGATACCACCAACTACCTGTTACTGCCTCTGTATCAGCAGCCGTTCCTGCTCCACAACAATATATGTTCGGTGCCATATAATGAATTTTCTCACAGTTCTTGTCAGCAACAATAGGGCCTTCAGTAGCACGAGTATCTGCCCCAAGAATAACACCATCCTGAAACAACTCAGGAAGATTAAACAAAACATTTATTCGAATTTACAAAAGAAACTTCGGTGTAATATAACATAGTTGAAAAGAAGAAAACATGTAGTGATACGCATTACATTTGCTAAGTAACTGGACCAGACTACTCAATTCAGTCATCTTAAAAAATGATGGGAACATTATCAACAAAGAGAATGCTTAAATGCTTAACACAACCAGCAGATAGCAATTTTAGTACAACTAAGACGTTTCCCCATTTAAAAATTTCTTCATACAAAGGATATCTGCTACACTTTGATGTATATGCATTAAGGAGAGATTGGGAGACTAATAAAAATTTCTCGATAAAGTTATGTCCGGAAGAACAACATTTGGCTCCAAAAAACAACTGAAAAATAATAAGATTGATCTATGTTACAAGAGTGGCCGATTACCTTGAAGATTAAACCCACAATGGTAGTTCCAGTCTTAAGGTAAGACGGAGATTTAAGACCTTTCTTTGCAAGCATATCATTTCTTCTGCAGAGATCAAAATTAAATCCACCCTTGGGAGGGGCATCAATTGCAGTGCTAGACATAGCTAAATTTCAAGTGCACCTGCAAAGTTGAAACAAAATATCGAACTGGCTTCCGGTCGAAAATGAACAGAAAAATAAAAATCAATCAACCCCACAACTTGTTACAATATGCTTCCAATAATCCAACTAGAACATTCTAACGAACACTGAATCAAATTAACTGCTCGCTTCGCTACACCCAGAAATGAAAGATGGCATAAATGAAACAAACTTCACAAGTGAAATCTCGGAACCTCAACCAAGACTAAAGGATCGCTATACATTCCCAACCTATAAATCACAAAGAATGAATACCCCCCAGAAATCAAACATGGAACAGTAGAAGGGAAAAAAAATCCCCATTCCCTAACACTTACATTCCATCCCGAGTCTTTCAAGCAATAAAATACGAAAAAATTTACATGTTGAACGTTTGTCATTACTTCATTTGATGATCTAACAAAAAACTAAGAAAATTATCGAAAGAAGCAGTATCTCAAATTCCCAGTTCGCCAGGAGCGGGCAGATTAAAATGGCAACATCAAATGGTTGAACACGAAGAACAGAAGAACTGGAAGATTCAGATTTGTTAAAATCAAACCTGAAAACGAGGAAAATGGAGGATCCAACTTGGGGAGCAGCGAGAGTTCGAGTGAGGCTTGAGCGAATTACCTCCTCTCCTCGTTTCTTTGTCTAAAAAGCAAATAACTTGCAGAGAAGGAAAAGACATTTAAAAAAAAAAAAAAAAGATTTGGGGGGATGAAACTGAACTTCAAGTATGGGCCAGAAACTTGGCATAATTAATATTGGGCCTGAAAGTTCTACAGGCCCATTTTGTTTGTTTGCATAAATATTGGGCCTGAAAGTTCTACAGGCTCATCTTGTTTGTTTGCATAATTAATATTGGGCCTGAAAGTTCTACAGGCCCATCTTGTTTGTTTGCATAATTAATATTGGGCCTGAAAGTTCTATAGGCCCATTTGTTTGTTTTATGCCACGGCGTATTTAATAATATTATAAATAATTTATTATTGGACAAATTAATTTATAAATATTTTTTTTTACATCTATTAGTGAATACATAAGCGTCTCTTACTCTTACTATAAATATTTTAAGGGTTTTTTGGACTTTTCAAATATTTTTATTTAAATATTTGGAACGAGGTTAAAATTGTCATATTTATAACTATTTTTATTTTGTGCTAAATTTTCTACTATATTTAGGTTAAACAATTTTATATGTGATTTCTCTTGTATATTTAAAAAAAAAAGAAAAACAAGAATAAAATTACATTTAAGTTACATTCTAATTTTAAACTCGATATTTTAACCCCTAAAATTTTATTTAGTAGTATTTTGATCTATGCAAAGTTTTTAATATTAAAATAAAAAAAACTTCCATCCAAAATTAACGGTAAATATATATATATATATATATATATATATGTATGTGTGTGTGTGTGGAGAGAGAAAAGGTAGATTTTTCACATAATTTTAGGATAAAATAAAATGCAATAAAATAGGAAGGAAAACAAAATATTGGGCCAGAAAAAAGAAGTTGGAACAGAAAAAAAAAAAAAAAAAAAAAAAAAA